ATTAAACATAATACAAGTTTTATATTTCAGTGTTATGAATCCTGCCATAGGCCCAATTATCTTTCTGATTTTGAGATATTACCAAAAATGCTCTTACAGTTGTGACCTTGGATGAGAACAATTTAAAATAAATACTTTACAGCAGTGATCCCCAAAGTGGATGGTACCACCTCACTGGGAATGGTGAAAAGATCCTGAAGGGTGAAAAAAAATACTTGGCAGACAGCGGGTAACAGTGGCACATCTGAACTATAACATGCACCACACCCCTATTGTACCTGAAATGTATCTTGCCTTCTTTTTACAGTGTATCCCATTTATATAACAATTATTATGAGAAATACTCATTTGACATTCAATACTGGCATGTAGAAAATCCAATCAAAGGTTGACTATACATGAAGTGGGAGTATTAGGGATTTGTCTATACATTTGGTGGTGGGGGTGTTAGGCCTGTGTTTTGGTTTGCAAGAGGGCGACAACCCCAAAAAGTTTGGGAACCACTGCTTTACAGCAAAAGTAAAGGATATAAAATTTATAATTATTTTAAAATTAAGATCAGAAGAATAAAAAAAAATAGCTAACATGAAAAATATAAAAAATAATGTGGGGTACTTTAATGACAAATAGCAATTAAAATGAAAAACAATTTCTTGCTTTTTGGGTCCAAACAGGATCACAGAGGCTAATTTTCTTGTTATCAAAAAGAAGCAAGAAAATATCTGATTGGCTAGAAATTGAGCTTGTTGTTATGGTAATTCCCTAGGGGAGTAAATAAAAGTGGTCCTTTACATAGCTAAGTATAATAAACAGTTTAACTAGACAATACGTAGTCAATTTCTTTGGACATCTCTTTTACTTAGTGGTAGGATGAAGTCGTAGAATAAAAAATAAATATGGAATTAGACAAAAGTTGAAAACACATTTGATATCAGCAACAGAAGCCAAGTTGTATGTTGTGCAAAATGTTAAATAAAACAAAAACTAGAAAATAAATAAAAACACAAAACTAATAAAGAAAAACTAAAAACTAATTAAAAACTAAAAAGCTAATGAAAAGAACTAAAATAAAATGATAAAATTACTAAAAGTAAAATATAAAATGCTTAAATTTAATAATAAAAAATGGATAATGACACTTAGAAAATGTTCTTGACAAAAAGTTCAATATTTCAGAGAAAGTTCTTGTGAGAAAAAGAAACTATAAAAATTTTATATTTTAGTAGTGTATTTTACAATACTAAAATATAAAATTTTTATAGTTTCTTAATTAAATTAATAATTGAAAAGTATAAATAAACAAATATAATAATCGTCTGGATTTGTCTTTTACACATACTTTTTAAAGAAAGCCAGATGGTTAGTAAAAAATTGTTACATTTGCCTGTGAAAATTTTAATTTTTTGAATTAGTGGTTAAAGAACTGCCAAAATTATTTCTTCTATGTGGATTGCTGCAGATTCATTTTTCAAATTCAAAAAATATGTATTATTATATTTACTGACCAATCAGAGATGTAGACTGATGTCCTTGCAAATTTTGAAATTAAGGTCTGTCCCCGGAGTTTCCCGCTTTCCTATAAAGAGTTTGGCTAACTTATAAGATCAGAAAGTAATGAGATTTTAAGACAGAAGGAAGTTTCAAAGCAGAAGGGACTGCTAAGTCACACAAAGTGGATAAAGCCTGCTGACTGCAAAAGAAGACAGACTTCAAAATTTCATCCTGTAGACATATTAAGGATCTAGGAGGGAAATCAATTTTGTCTGTTTACCAAGAAGAATTTATAAAAAAAAATTCAAATCTGTTAAACAGAAATTTTCTATAAAAGAATAAAAATGTAATAAGTTCCTATGACATCAGTCTTCCAAATTATCTAATGCCCTGTTGGCTGGGGCTTCAAAATATGCCGACCGCACTTCTGCAGGGGGTTAATACCTCCCACCCAAATGAGATATCCTGGGTATGATGATAAACTGTATCCAGCAGCAAGCCCTATGATCTTAACTGCTGGTGTTCCCAGGTCCACCCTGACCTGGGATGGTAGCACCAGTTAGGGTCCCAGCTATGGGCAAATAGTGACCCCCCCCCAAACTAGGGTAAAAACACTATGAAAGTGTAAAAATAAGTCTTAATACCAGCAATACATTACTATTAAAAAAAAAATTACTAGCAATAAAAATCTTGTTGGCATTAAATAACCTATTGTAGAAGTGGGTAGTTTATTAGTGAGACCTTACTCAGAGTCTGAGTCATCTTAGTGTTCAGTGTCAATCTATTGTGTTTTTCTCAGCCCTAAAAAGGGGAGAAATTTCATTAGCAAATGACCTCTTCATGTGTCATGCTTAGCTGGTTTCTCTGTAGTAGCAACTTTTGTTCGATCTCTTACCATCACTCTCTTTTTTCTAGCCCAAAGGTGTGAGCTTACATTCTTTTGTCCAGGCTCTGAGACTCTGGTGTGAACCTTGATTTCGACTAACATCAAAAGTCTCTTTGTGTTATATTTTTTGATTGGCCAAAATTATTTTCTTTTCCAGCATTCCTTTCTGTTTCAATTTTTTTTTTTTCTTTTATTGGAAGTTATGCATGGAGGTTGTCTTATTTTGGTAGATTTGTAGTCATAAATAAGTAGACTCTGGTTCTGCAAACTTCCAGCATTTTTCATCTAGGTTCAGTCTTTTCTTCTTCCTCTTTATTTGAGGGCTGCCTTCTCTTTAGTTGAGAGAGAAGTATATAGAGAGAAGGAGAGAGAGAGAGGGAGAGGGAGAGAAAAAATAAAGAGATAAGAGTTTTAAAGATCTTTTGGTATCAAACAATGAGGTCAGTAGAAACAAAAAAAAATCTGTGTACCAACACTAAGTTCAATTACAAATTTGTTGTAGACAGTTCGACAGCCAACGTAGTAAAAAAACGGGGCCAGAAGTCTAGCCATCCCCTCACAACAGCGAAAATGCACTTTTGCACACCAAGCTCAAAAATACTTCTGTCCCTAGTAAGCAAAAAACAATGGCCTTGTAGGGTACTAATGTTAATAGAATGAAATCATTAACATGAGTGTTACAAAATAAAGAAGTTTTTATTAACTTTTTACAACACAAGAACTTGTGGAAAAAACTGAAAACAAAAAAATTAAATCATTTGTGTTTTGTTTCTTTTTTAAAGTCTCTGCATGTCATAGTGAAGTATCAGCAGCCACATGGTATTAAAAGCATTATTGCCAAATTGAGAGTCATAATATACTGTTCATTCAGCTGTCAAAAGAGCAGGCTGCAGTGACACACAGTTGTATTCATTTTGCCAAGCAAGTGAACTGTTCTAAGGTAGTTTGAAAATATTCTCATTTTTATATTTTTTTAGCTCCACAAATTTCTTATGAAGTACCTGCGTATTTTTTTTGATACATTCGATTGGTCAAAAAAATGTGGCAGAGTGTTTTATTTTTTTTTAGAAAAACATGTAGAGATGTTTTTTATATATTAAGAATTGCACCACGCCAAAGCTGATCAGATTTTTCTCAAACCTTCCTTGACAGGGAAATTGCATCATTTCCTATAGCCTTTATTCACTGAGTGATTTATTTATTCATTGATTGGCCATGCCAAAGAATATTAGCATAGTTTCTCTGATACGTAAAGTAACAGGTTTTTGCTAACATTTTTCTTTAATTTTCTTTTGGCAGACCGCACACAAAACACAAATTCTTAACTTATTTTAATTCTTTAAGAGGCACAGTGGAGTGATGAATAAGCAGCTTGGATTGAGGAATCGGAGGGTCAAGTTTGAATTCTAGTTGAATCAATTACATTCACTTATGTGCTAATACCCTTGGGAAAAGTATGAATCCTCTTCTTCTCCCCCTAGCTATGGATAAATAGCAAGTCAGACCTGGTTCTATAGCCTTGGATGGCAACTGATTTACCACAGAAAGAAATGGCAACCTACTGTGGGAAAAACTCTGCCTCGTCAGTCATGTATCGAAAGATACATGATCACCTAAGCGTGTATCACGCATGGCACATAACTGACTGAATTCTTTTTATTTTTGTTTATATATAGTTTTTATTTTTATAGGGATTCACTACACTTTCTTGCCTTGAAGTCAAAACAATATTATTTTGTAAACATTTTGCTTCATTATGATTTGCATATTGCTTGTGTAATGTTATTTTGCTATTTTTTTTTTTCCTGATCTTATTGTTTTTTAAGAACTTTCTCAATTCCGTTTCTGGGACATTTTTATGATTACACTTAACCATGGCCAATTATTCCACATGTTAGTACATTAATCATATTAGTAATCTACTATTAAAACAAGAACATGAAGTTGTTTACCTGTCACAGTTTTCACCTGTATATTGAGGTTTGCACAAACAACGCCCAGAACCTTCTTCGCAAGATCCAGTCGATAACCTTAAGTCACACTGGCAGGCTAGAAAAGAAAAACAAAATTAAAGATGATTCTGACATTCAAACCTGAAATTTTTACAAAAGGACAAATTAAAATGTCCAACGCTTTAATGCAGGTTTAGTTTTGCTATAAGGGAGATAACTGTTAGAAATATCTAAGGGAGATAACTGTTGGTGCACAAGATTTTTTTTCTTTTCGCTAAAAAGTCTTATGGTGATACTGATGAGCTAATACTAATGTATTAAAGAGAATCTTAATTGTTAAAGAAACTTCAGCGAACTTGGACCTTGGACGAAAAAAAAAAAAAAAAAAAAAAACACAGCGGAGTGTCAAAAGTTTCCATTGATATTGTTATTTTAATTACCTTCACTCCCTCAGGAATGTTTAGCAAAATGACTTTTTAATCACTGAGCCATGTGTCGAAGTGTAAAGAAATAATAATGGTTTACAGATATAAGTCTTAATAATTAACCCATATCTGGGGAAGAAGAGTATTTGCATGTAAGAGAATATAATGAACCCAATGGGAACTGGAACTCAGCTATCCAATTAACAATTCCGAATCATTATTCATTACACTACCTGCACATCCAAGCTTACAGCACCTGGTATTCCCAAATAGTTACCCTCTAGGTACTGACCAGGCTCAACGTTGCTTAACTTCAGTGATTGTATGGGGACTGGTGTTTCAACATGATGTAGCCATAAGTCCTTCATAACAGCCATATACATGGTGTCCATAATGTTTGGGTGCATTTTAAAAAATTTATAACTTTATTTGCATTTGCGAGAGAAATAATTTGTAAAAAGGACTAGAAAGAAGTAAATCTATATTTTTTAAGGTTTTATTGAAATTTTATTTAAGTTTCAACATGTCCTCCATCATTAGCAATACAAAGGGTAATACGATTTTGCAGTTCACAAAACATTTGCCAACTGATTTACAGTAATTCCTAAAATCACATTAGTTATTTTAGCTATACTTAAAACTAGGTACATTAAACTTTATAACATTTTTTACAGATTATTTCTATTGCAAATACAAATAAAGTTATAAATTTTTAAAGTTCCCATGAACTTTATGGATACCTAGTATACAAGCTTGCAGCACCAAGAATTATAAAGTGGTCACCCATTTAGGTACTGACCAGGCTCAATGTTGCTTAACTTCAGTGATTGTATGGGAACTGGTATTTCAGCATGATGTAGCCATAAGTCCTTCAAACTAGCTGCACATCCAAACTTACCGCACTTGGTATTCCTACGTGGTCACATATCTAGGTACTGACCAAGCTCAATGTTGCTTAACTTCAGTTATTGTATGGGGACCGGTGGCTATAAGTCCATCATAACAGCCGCACATACAAGCTTGCAGCAACAAGAATTACAAAGTGGTCACCCATCCCAGTACTGATCCAGTTCAACGTTTCTTAACTTCAGTGATCATACGGGGACTTGTGTTTCAGCATGATGTGGCTGTAAGACTAAAATATCATCTTGAAATTATTAGTTAATCTTTTTATTATTTTTTTTTTCTACAAAAATAAGAAATTAAAAAAGAATCTTACGTTGACAGACATTTGGAACATCTTTTTCGACACCATAAGGTCTGTAGAAGCCATCTTTGCACTTTTCACAGTTTATCCCTTCAGTATTGTGCTGAAAATGGAATGTTTGTACAATTAAATTTGATAATTTAGACCATGTGAGAACAGAAAGGTTCAATTCCCAAAATCACAAGTCACACATTGTAATTCAAAAGATCATGAATCAGTCTTCCAAGTTCAACATCAGAAAATTGCCGAGGACATAAATCAAAAGAGGCAAAAATTCATCTCCACAACTCATAAAGGACAACTACCTCATTCACTCAATGAATTGCCAATTGTCATAATTTAATAATGAATAGATTATTTGTGGCACAAGGCCAAAAGTAGAGGGAAGAAAAGGCTGGTCATCATTAACTATCCTACCCCTAGCTAATTTGATTCACAACCTATTCATTCTAATGCAAACAACACAAGAACTCATCTCTCTCTCCATCCAATCTAAACATGTACCAAAATACTGTATTTTTACCAGGGACATAATACACCCATGATGGTAAAAATGTCTGGATATATAATGTACAATTTTCTTTTCTTTTTATTTTATTTTTTTAAAATATATAAAAATTTACAATGACATGAAAAGGGAGGGGATAAACCCATTTAATCAAAATAAAAGATAAGCTGGACATTTGAAAGAAATTAAATGTAGTTAACACCAAATATTTTCTATAAAAGAGTATATCATGATGAAAAAAATACCCCTAACTTGATAAAGAAAAAGTTTTATTGTTGAAGTGTTTATTATGAAGAGGAAAGAAGGTATTTTTTCATTATTTTCTTAAATTGTTTTAATACTTTTTAGTATGTCCAAAATTTTAGTTAAAAATCTTGTTTTTCTTGTGTCTGTGGTGGGCCAAAGATTAGGATTAGCATCAAACACAAAATTACAAAAGTCAAATAATTATCAAATTTTAAAGAAATTTTCAGGGCATATTCACAAATCAATGAAATTTTTTTTTTAAGTTTTTTTTCTTTGGAAAATCTTGGTAAATTTTTTTTTTTAACATCAGTTAACACACACACACTCACTTAATTTTGTGAATTTTTGAGAAATTAAAATTTCAGCCTTTTCATATTTATATTGGTCAAAAGCAGGATTCCTTGGAGAATTTAAATCTTCAATTTTTGTCAAACAGAAACACCCCATTTACTGAAAATCTGATCAAAATCATAAAATAAAAAAAATGTAATAAAACATTATTTAATTAAGACATTATTTAATTAAAAAGCTTTTAATTGCTTTTATAAATAGGATAGATTAAGGACATTATTGTCTTCAGAAAAAAATTTTTGATAAATAATGAGCAAAAAAGAACAAAAATTTAAAAAAGGAGCAAAAATGACTCCCCCACTTCTAAATGTGTAATGGGACAAAAAAAAAATGACAAAAAGAGGAGAAAAATTAGGATAAATATAAAAAAAGATCAAAGGATTAAAATGATTCCATTTTATATGTAAAAAAGTTGTGCCCCAAATAATGACAATATATAAGCTGTCAACTCACCCTACAATTTTGGCACACACCACCACCATCATAATTTCCATGCAAGTCAAGTGACAATTTCTTCTCATCAATTTCTGGGTCATATATACATTCATGAGAATGTCTGTGACAGTTACAGCCTGGAAGAGAGAGAGAACACCCATGACAGATTAAAAACAAAAAAATTTTTTAAATAAATAAATTTTTTAAAAACGTTTCAAATTTTTTTTAATCTTTTCTGTTAATTCCCTCAAAATAAAAAGAATTTATATTTACTAAAATTCACACAAAATTCTCTCAGAGCAAGGCCCTTTCATTGCACTCAGGTTGGGTTGATTTTTGCTATCACCCCAAATGTGGGCGACTTAGGTGCACTATTTTTAAGTGTGGGCTCTTCATTTGCACTCACTCCAATAAACAAGCCAAAAACAGATTTTTTTAATTTTTTTTTTTAAATTGTAAAAAATTCTTTGCAAGTACCTCGAATATCATCCTCACTTACGGATAATAATTCTCTGATTTTTGGTAAATTTCCATTCTGAGTGTTAGTGCTGTTGCGAGACATGCAAAACAAATTCAGATTTAAAATTTATAATTTCAAAAGAGTGCTAAAAATTTACTAAAAAAATAGAAAGAGACTGATTTAAAATTTATAATTTCTTGGGGTGAATTAATATTTGCGATAAGTAACTTGACATTATTTGGGGTGAATTAACAGAAAAGATCCTTTTTAAACTTTTTTCTCATTGAAAAAATTAAATAAAATTTTTTTTTTATATATAAAAGCGTACAAGGGAGGTAATCATGATTATCTCGTTAAAGGAAAGTGATCATAATTATGTCCCTTTAAACAGAAAAATACATTATGTTTTTAAAACTATTTGTTGCGTCCGAGAACAATTTACCAAAAACCACGAGATTTGCTTACGTTCACACATGAAATCTTTGTTGGTTGTAACTCTCTGCCATTTCTTCTGGACAAATCCTGGGCAGCAAACTTCACACTGAGGACCACAAGTGTTGTGCTGACATCTGCACAGCAATTTGTTGGGTTGAGTAGTGTCTGCTTTATCGCAACTCTCTGCATGTCCATTACACACACATCGACCACCAATAGAAATATCCTTAATACTGTAGAAGTACTGTAAGCAAACAACAAACCTTCATATTAGATTATAATTCCAACCTTAAATATGGTTCTTTTTAAGATGCAAGTTCTTAAAAGCAATATGTCTTTTTAGTTTTTAATTATTTTTAATTTTAAACATTTTCATAATCGTCATTATCATAACCATAGCCATATTTTATTTCGTTTTTTGAGGCAGGACCAGGATTAATCTTGCACAAAGTAAGGTTGGTCCTGTCATACTTCTTCAGCACAGGAGTATACTTTGGGCCAGAAATGATGTAAAATGTTATCCTCATTTTAGATGGAAGATGGTGCACGGTTATGAAAAATATTGATTATCTCCCCTTGGTTGATAAAAAACCTAATGGCAGAGAAGATGAGTCCATTTATCTGATAATAATGGGTAAGACCCAAATTTATGCGTCAAATGGATTTTAGATGTCAAAGGTGAGAGGCTTGAAAACTCCTAAAGTGAATGGGCATGTTTTAGCCTACTCCAGAGAACAGGTGATGCTGGCTACAAGCAAACCTAAATAATCTATTGACAAGCAGTTACGAACAGCATCAGAAAAGTGTTTAAATCAATTTCAAAAAGATACATGTATTTGGATTTTGTCCCCAATGCCATAACATTAACTGCTAAAGGAATATGTTTAGCAATTCTCTCTTCTCATTGTCGTTGTATAACATATTACTTATAAAAGTATACATTTTAAAAATATTCATTTGTCTTGTTATTTGTTCTTCTGTCATGAGTCATGTAGGAGTCACTAATTTTTCCATATGTTCCCAGGGATCCCAACCCTGTAACAGCAATGAGGAAATTGCCCTAAGAGATTTGAGGGGGGGTCGATGTAATAATACCAGCATGATAGTGGTCATGAGAACTAAGTAATTTTTATCCTTGTCTTATATGCAAAAGTAAGTGTATAGGTTCCCCACATAAAACTGACCTTTCCTCAAATACCATAAAACATAATGTTTGATAAGTCACTCACAGCACTCAACATGCCCAGCCTAGTATAGTCTATGGCTGCATAGCAGTGACTCAAGGTTTTCAAGGCTTAGCTTCAAGAGAAGCAAACATGATATCATCCTCAGTGAACACACCAGAGTTCCAGCATATTATAGCCCTGAATAATAAGCATTCTGAAAATTATATCTCTGCATCCTTAAAGGTTATACACATAATAGCCTAGAATTGGTTTCTTGAGAACATTCTTAAAGTAAGTTTAAAATGTTTTTCTTTAGTAAGTGGCAAGTTATAATTACCATAAAGAGAGAAAATAAAGATCACCCCCACAAAAACAAGGACCAAAAATTTTTTTTTAAAAAAGGAAGGACACCTCAAAAGGACCTCTCCAAAAACAAGAGGAGAAAAAGGGAGCAAATAGAATACAAAAATTTTAAAAAGGAGCTAAAAAGATTCCCCCCTCTAAAAATGAAGTGGGACAAAAAAAAAAAAAAAGGAGATAAAAATTAGGATAAAAACATAAAAAATAAGAATAATCCCCTTCCCCACCAAGAAAATGGCAAAAAAAAAAAAAAAGAAAAAACAGACCCAAAAAAGAAAGAGGACAAATTAAAAACAGATGACAAAAAAGTGGAAAAATTTAAAAAACAGTACAAAAAAGGGGTACAAAAAAAGTACAAAAAATAGCTTGACCAGCTGTTATTCCTCTTTTATTCAAATGAAGACTGAAAAAATGTGCGCAATGAATAAAATAGTAAAACGTCAAATTTTACACCCCTAGTAAAATATATAATCATAGATATTGAATAGAAAAGAATTTAGAAAGGATCCAGTTTCTTTGTCAATATAATTATAAACTGTAGGTTTAATAAAAATAGAAAGTACATATCTGAGCAATTTGATGTGGAATAACAACAAGCAAGTTTGTCTTGAGATCAATTACAACTAAATAGTGAGCTCAATCTTCACTGGGTTCTTCCTACTTTCGGCCCTGAATCCCATCTAAGCTATAAATCATTATCATAATCATTTCTTTGCTATAGCAGAGTCAAATGAAGACAAATTCTTTCCTGCATTTCTCACATGAGAATTTAAACAGTAAATCTGACATAAAACCAATCCACATAAAAAAAAATGTCTTAAGTCCACCCATGATATTATACTTGCCCTTCTTGTGACTGTTGGATCTTGCCTTCTGACTGCCATCAAATGACCAAGGAGAGTTTTCGTTTGTAACATCCTGAGCCGCACAGAAGTCGCTTTTGTCCAGTCTTGTAACTTTTGG